TATTTTGTCCTAAGCTAAAGATATTTTTTCCACATTGGGTCAAGGACAGGCGGAGCCGGCAGGTTTGCCTGTAATCCTTCCTACAGCCTAACTCGTTCCAATCTCGTGAATCGCTACCAAAAGTCCAGCTGATTAAACTGAAACGAAAAATCAAGAAAATCAAAACAGCTCCTAAAGAATAGAAGATTCCTCCATAATGGACCCAGTAAATGTGCTCCTCACACATTCCGTCGTCCGTCACACCTCCCAAATGACAAATTTACTTAATCTCCGCTGAGAGCAGTAGATGAGTTAGCAGGCACATTTGATCCAGCCGGTATCCTGCTAATTGTTAGTAGATGCCCCAGAAGGGGACATCGTCGAGGTTGCTGTGTCCTCAAACTTCTTCTTCAGGTCCCAGCACTCCGAAACCTGTTGCCTTGGCCATTGCGGTATCCTTCGCCACGGCGACAATCGCCTCTTCGGCCTTTTTGGCTGCGGCCCTAGCTCGAGCCGCCTCCGCGAAATTCCCTTGCTCGAGGTGGCGTATCCACGGGAGCTGCTCTTTTGTCACCGGTCCAGACTTTCTGGGTCTGACTTGTCAGTCCCGAGAATCCGATCGATGGGGTCCCCCACAGTTACGACACTTTGTGAGGGCCCTGCACTCGGCTTCCGAGTGCATTGTTGATCCACAGTTCCAGCAGGCTGGAGCGCGGGAGCAACCATGAGTGGCGTGGAAGCCCAAACAGCGTTTACACTGTTCAATTTGTCGACGAGGCTTGTGTATGGTAGCTCTACCAGACTCGTCGAAGAGGCGGAAGCCCGCACGAGGGGCGACTTCCCGATCGAAAAGGGTATGCCAGTTTCGGTGCGGTGCCCCAGGTCGACACGTCCCATGAGGTCGGACGTGTATTGGTCTCACGCCGGTCATAACGGCGATCTTGTCGAAGACCCACTCAGAATCGACCGCCATGGGGCCTCGCTCTGCGATTATACTTACAGGTATGTTGGGTATCTGTAAGGCTACAAGATCTGAAGATGCCTCGAGTTTGGCGTTTTCACTCGCCAGTTTCGAAGAGCCATCTAGCATCTCTTGTCGTGTTTTTTAGTCCTTTGCTAGCATAGCAAAGCCAGTCCTCACTCGATGAAGCGAGGTTATTTTATCGTGAAAGAAAAGGAATCTTATCACCAATTTACTTCTCACGCAACTTGTGGACAGTTTTCGCCACGGGTGGTCCTTTTCAAGGCGAAGGAATAGTCGCTTGTCGAATTTCGCCTTGGGGGTTTCTTTTTGGTGGGCTTTTGCCGCAGGTTGCGTCACAGCCTTTGCAGTTGGGACTGCTTTCTGTCGCAGTCCATTTCTGGCCACCGTGGCCCAGGTGCTTATGACGGGCAGAGCTGGGACGGTGGGTATTGTTTGGCTCCTGGCGTCGGGAGCCCTTGGGAGAGGGTTCGTCGGGCGAGGAGGGAAAACGGGTGGCGTAGTGGCCGGGCCCGTGGCCATGTATTGCGCAATGGCAGCGCGTAAGTAGACTCTCATCGAGTCTACGAATTGTCTATTTGACCCGTTGGTCAAAGGGAGAAGGGTTGCTTGGACGCCAGAGATGGCGGCGGAGCAGAGGGCCAGATTTGCCGCTGTTTCGGCGGCGCGTCGTTGTTCAGCTTCGACAATTGGTCGGAGCTCCAGGGGAAACTCAGCTTTCGTGGCAGCTTTTGGCTGCGACGTTGATGTTGAAGCTGCTATGGGTGCAGCGTTTTCCGACGGTTTTGACACCGTCGGAGGTGGTTTGGATGATTCTCCAATCCCGTGGGGGACGGAGGGTGGTTGAGGAATTTCCTCAAAATTTTCGACTGACCCGATCATGTCAGTATCGGGTTCAGTGACGGCGTGGTGGGCTTTTTCCTTCCCTTTGATTGAGACCTTGCTCATCTCCGCACATTTCGGAGACTGGACAAGGCCGGGTACTTGTTCGAGAGCCCTCGGGTGGAATCTCGTGTTGTCCAACTTGGCGTTGGGACGCTTTTTTCGAACAGGTGGCATGGTGAAAATACCAGTGACTCGATCACAATTATTTGATAGAATACGACGAGCGCGAGAGGGAGGGAGAGGGGGAAAAGGTAAAGATTCGAAAATTCGAATTTAAAAATAATTGTCTTTGATATTGTGTCATAGCTAGATAGCTACATACGCAATTAAAATCTGATGCAAAAAAAAAAAGGGCCATGGCCAATTCGTAGCCTATCATCGCAGATTCAACAATGTAGGTGCACCCAATTAGTGTGTATCTGGAGAGGAGACTAGTCCTACACACTCCATACATTGTCGACGACATTCTCATGAAACACGTTGGATGCGTAGTCAAAAATCCCTCGACGATTTTTTACACCAAGCTCTCGAACCCAAGTGCCTTGAAGACTCCAGAAACTTTGCACAGAAAATCCGATGTAATAGGTGCTCTGCTGCAGGTTCGATCTCTGCTCTCAGCGAGGTCCAATTAAACTAGACATGGAACATGAAACGAGGCGAGGAGTTCTGCTCCCAAACCACAGGTGCTGATATTAGTTTGGACCTCACAGTTTTGGAGCCGGTAGTTCTATTATTATTTCTGTTTTTTGTATTGCTGCTTGTAATTTAACTGGCTACAATTTGTGTAATGGTTCACGTGGTGAGAATAAGCTGGGCGTGTCATAGATTTGATCTCATCTGAGAGCACAGTTCTTTGAATCTTAGGGGATAGCGGGTATAACCTATGACTTAAAAATTAAGCCAAACAAATAAATAATATTAGAGAAAAATTAAATTAACACTGTGTCACTTATACTTGTACTTATAGCACACTCCTCACACTCAAGTAGCATTTATTCTGCATATATTCAAGGGATGGATTAGAGGAAGATTGACGAGGTCTAATCTGGTGAATAAGATTGTTTAGACAGAAGAATGTTAAAGGACCAGGGATACTGAATACAATCGCGTACGCGCGTAAACTCTTCCACGTGACCTCAATATTAATCGCGTTTCCCATTACACATACGACACTCTTTTAGTGAACTTCTTTCGTTCCAAAAGTATGCAGCTGTCTTGGCAGGAGGCTTATTTTTCCCATTCATCTGCCGTTTCGCTTCCGTGGCGGCTAGCGCTAGTAAATTTGCTGCTCTCGGAGCCGCTGTTGCCCTTCAATTTTTCATTCCCCATTGTATTTGGAGGTTGCAAGAATTGCTGGATTTGATTTCTATACAGGGGGAGGATCTTACATTGGCACCGTAGTGCTTGTATTTTATGTTGCAAATTTCATGATTATCAATGCAACTTGTTCCATAATAGGCGCGAGTATTGCCGTTGTTTCTCCTTCCGCATTGGGTTTTTTGCAGTCATTAATTTCACGGATCCGTAATTAGAATTTTAATACTAATATTAATTCGTGATAAGATGAAGGGGTAGTTAATTAAAACCATCAATTTAATAATAGCTTCCCCTATAAAATAAGTCTTGTAAAAAGTCATGTAAGGATATACAAGAGACTCATGAAGAGAAGGACAAGAACACAGCCATCAATGCGAAGATGTTGGCAAGAATTGATTACGATTTATTCCGGCTGGCAAATGCTTCTACTCTTGTATATAATAGTTCAGCGTGAGAGAGATTTACTCCTCACGCAACGTCTTCTTTATCTACCTTTTACAATACACTTGTTTACCAATCTCTTCTTCGGGAAGACCATACATCTATTGCCAAGTTCTTCATCAGCAAGACCCACGTGTAACATCTACTGCAACTAGTTGCCCATTCATCTCTTCCTAGAGAAGACCTGTCTTAGCTTTGACCAATTTATTATCTTTATTCACCACCTAGATCTTCACTACGCTATACAACGCACCCCGTGGAACACTGTCAAACCCTCATCCTTAAGACCAGACCCGAGCTTTGTATATTACGACTTAGTTTCCTCCTTTGGGGTGTACATAGCATCATAACTTCATAGTGGGACACGGCCTGTATTAAATATAGCAAGCTCCTTATGAAATTGAAAAGAATCCTTTATCGGTCTTTCAGATGAGCTAGTTTGTAGTAAATTGAATTGGTGGAATAGCATAAGAAAGACAGAGCCGATATTCATGAGAATTCGACAGTTTTAGATATGCTCTTGTTTGCTTTTGAATCTGATCTGGATACGATTCTTCTTAGTCTTCCCAGATATACAGAGTCTCTTGAGCGATTACATCGACGCCGATGAAAGGCGAAGAGCTCTTCTTTGCTGGCTTGATGAGTATTTTTTATTATATTTTTGTACATTCTGAACGTAATACTTTGTAAAACATAAAGGTTCTCTCTGACCACAGGCCAAGGATACCTATACCGGTAGTATATCCCTTCCTGTGCCTCCCATACAGCTCCCCTCAAACAGTACCACCCCTCACAAGTCCTTATTCGATCATACACTTAGAGGTGCCATTTGCCCTTAATTATCTCCCCTCTCCAGCTAACGAAATGATGGCCATTTGCGGGTGTATGGTAGCCGGGAAAAATCGCAAAAACCACTGGGTGCGGAGCTCTCCTAATACTGACGTTAGGACTAAATCCGAAGACATAGTGACCCTTCTGATGCGTTCGAAGAGGCCGGCCAGCTGGGCGCTGCAGACTTGTGTGTACCTCGGAGAATTCACACTCTGACTTTCTAGCCTCTTTCCAACTCCTTCCCGAAGGTCGTTGTGAAATGTTCTGTACAGTTTTACTTCGGCAGTTACCTGAATTAACGCGCTCTGCAATCTCTATGACTGAGGAATCTGTATTTCCTTAACAAATATCCTACTCGTTTTGGTGTAAGAAGGACAGGCAAATCCAGCGCAGGACTTCTCATTTGCAAAATTTCTTTTTTACTTCACTTTCTATAGCATAAAAAGATCTGATCATGCATATTTGCGTGAGTCAATGGGGACAATACGCCCTTATCACGGCTCTTGAGTGCATAGGAAAAGCATGATACGAATAGCGTGAAGTTCAAATCAAGTTATTCTATCTATCAGGACCTAAAGCTATTGAAGAGCTTTACTTTGACTTCATCAGCTATGAAGCCGATAGTTTCTTCTCCGTTAATTTTGTTGCTGTCCTTCACAACCTTATCAAGTTGCATATCAACATACTTGCTATACGGTTGCACCTGCCCAGTAACGTGGCTTGTTCGCGCAAGTGAAGACTCAACCATTTTAATCTTAGTACTTAAATCAAGCATCTGCTTGCTGCTATACTCTCGATTATTCAATAATGGGTTTTGGCTGAGTGTTTGAACCCAGTATTTGTTCCAAAGCAATTCAAGAAGATAGGTATCTAGGGAACACTTGAAATTCGAGATTTGGAGAGAGTAATATTTACTGCTGTGTGCTCCGAAATCTTCAATCTTGGCAAGGGGGATAGTTTGGTAATCATCACCGATAATGGAATCAGGTGGCTCGTATGACATAGGATATGTGCGGAAGGCTCCGATTTCTACTTTACCCGCAGATATTGTGCGATCCGGGTCAATAACAACAGCAAGGAAAGGATCAGAGAAACGCTGTTGTGTTTGTTGTGTCGCGACATCAATGCCGCTCAGCCAGCAACCGTACCCGGGATGACTGTGGTACCATCCAACTGCATTCTCCAATTTTCCCTGTTCTCGGCAGGCCTGTAGATAGGTAACCATATACTCATTTGCTTCATCTTGTGCGTTGACTCGAGTTTCTGTGCCTTCTACTGGAAGGCGGAAGGCATCAGTAACGATAAAAGTATCGCCTAAAATTTTCCCTTGCATCAAACCCATAACTTCTATAGATCCCCCAGATCGAGCATGCATGACCATCTTGAGAAGGGCAACAGCAGAGATGCGGACATTTTTGAAGTACGAGGGATCCTTCGTCCATGGAGTGGAAAGACCTATGGCTTTTTGTTCGGCAGAATCATATGTGTATAGGGCATCTCGATGGGGGTCTATGAGACCGATAGAATTTTCAGCTTCTACGTAGAGCAAAGTAAGCCTAAGTATGATGAAAAATTAGCAGTTTTTACTTACCCCAGGACTTCAAAGCAGTCTCCATTGCAACCTTGTGAGAATGATGCGTATGTCATTGCTAAGTCTTTGAATGGTGATCTCCCGATGATAGCCTTGTCACTAGCATCTCAGGGCTGGCTAGATGCAGGGCGTTGCCACGGGAAACACACTTTCAAGTTTCACTAAATAAACATCCCTGACGCGCATCATTCCAGGTAGTGATATCTCTCCCGTCTTCCTCCGACTTTGTGGCCTAAGCTATCAATCATTCATGGCTCGAACAAGAGCCGATGACCTTGGAACCCAAAATCTTTGAACATTGACTTCTGGTTAAGGAATAATAACTTATCATCAAATTAATTTAAATTAAGAATCTGATATTACAGGAGAGCTTTGAGATTTCCTCCGATCTCAACATGGAGACAGAATACTTATCATCTCAAGTCTCTCGGATAATTGAACAACTCAGAAACCTCTTTGACGAAATCGGCGTTCCTTCACACGAGAGAGAGACCCGCGAGCTGGAGGTAGGTCGCAGTGGGTAAAGAACTTGCATGTTTTACTAACAAATACTTTGAGTTGTTCACCGCCCTCTCCGAGACACTCAATAGTCATGTACGTAAAGTTACGACAGAGAAGAATACTTTGACCGAAGAGGCTCAGCGTATAATCACAACTATCAAGCAAATGGAAGCGTCCCTCGAAGATGATAAAATTTCATCGAGAAATCATGAAACTGATCATATTAAAGTCACATATCCTCTAACCCTGTGTCTAAAGGGCTTGAAAGAAAAACACTCAGTAATTTCGAAATTGCACAGAGAGCGATTTGATCAAGTTAAGAGTATGGCAGACATTTTGAAAAAGTTTAAGCCTAATTAATATTATTCAGAACTCGTGCAGACCCTTGAGTCATACTCTTCTCACCTTGAATCGGACTTTGTTAAGATAACTCTGCCTCCTACGTCTAGTAACGCTTTGATACCCCCAACATTTGACCTCTCACCGACTTACATCGTCGCTTTAAATAATGAATTCACTCGAGTCCACGAAGAGTATAATCTGCGAGTTTCTACGGTTAAAGCAGTAGCGGAAAACATAATCCATTTATGGGCAGAGCTTGGTACACCTCAATCGCAGACCGACGGAAATATTGTCAAATACTATCGAGATTCTCCAGAGAAAATCGGTCTTCTGCTAGATAACTTAAATAGATTGAAGAAAATGCAGGGAAAACTAGAAGACGAAAAGAAAATACGTGAAGGACGCCTTCGAGAACTCAAGTCATCTGTGGAGTCTCTTTGGGAGAAGCTAACCATACCCACCCATGAGAGGAAAAATTTCTTGAATAATAACCGAGGCTACGGTGTTCGACAGATAAACAAGTATGAGGAAGAATTCCGAAGACTCAACGAACTTAAGATGCAAAATCTACCCTTGTTCATAGATGATGCCCGAAACAGACTGCAAGTACTATGGGACAACCTTTACTATTCTGAGGAAGATATGTTGAAATTTACGCCAGCGTTTTCTGATGTGTATAGCGATGCGCTCCTAGAAGCTCACGAGCAGGAAATCAAAAAATTAGAAGACTTGAATGACCAATGGGCTCCAATATTACTACTCGTCAACAAACATCGAGGGCTTGTCAAAGATCGCGATGAACTTCAAACGTCGAGCCAAGATGCATCTCGTCTCCTTGGCCGTGGACAAAAAGGAGAGAAGCGAGATCCTACGCGTCTTCTCCGAGAAGAGAAGATGAGGAAACGAATCGCAAAGGATCTTCCCAAAATTGCAATTGACTTAAAGAGAGAATTGGAGAGATGGGAACAAGAATATGGCAGGCCGTTTCTTGTTTACGGGGAGCCATACTTAGACTCTCTTGAAGAAACTAATCCAACTCCAGGCCCTCGATCTAAGACACCAGCAGGAATTTCATTCTCTACCACAAAATTTAAAAATGATGGACTATCTACTAAGCCTAATTATAGCGTCAAGGCTCCAACATTTTCCTCATCATTAAGAATTGGTGTGAAGACTCCAATTCCTAACAATGGAATGACGCGAAACACATTCAATAGCTCCATGTTAAAATCCCCATCAAAGATTCCAGCTCGTGCTCCACTGTCAAACCTTCGAGGCGGGAGCTCGCCTGAACGTACATCAAGACCAAGGTCCGTACTACAAGAATCCAAAGTAAACATGGGCCCACCGCCCAAAATGCGGGAGATAATCACGCGCTCGCCTGTTCACAATCATAAATACCGTAGTGAAAGCGAGTCATCAAACGAAAGCGTCCGACAAGTTACTCCAGAAGACTTGTTCTACGAAGGCGCTCGGCTCAGAAGTGTAGACTATTTTAAATCTAAATCAAATTATGAAGCGAAGAAACATATGCTTCACAGCGGTCAGGAGGTAAACAGCGATATGTATATACCCAGACAGATATCATCTTCCACTGCAACCACCGTATCGGGTTCGGAAAATTGGCAAACTATTGAAGACGACTCTGAGCCCGAAGAAGATGCCACATCTACCTACTATTCTAAGCTTCGAGCTGCCCAAGGGAAGAGGTCAAGTCCTTCAAATCAAATCTTCCTTGGTCAGCAAAAAAAATTCAAGGGTATAGTTGCTTTACCTCCACCATTTGAGTCCATGGAAAGAAACTCTAGTCATACAGCACTCGAGTACCACAATGAACGAATGAATATGTATACTAGGACATAATCAAACAGTAATAATGGTTTACGCTCTCAATTTAAAACTATCACACGAAGCCTACGAATTCAATGAATAACGTTGCCCTTCACAATTAAGATCATTTACTATCTCAGAATAGCTTGAAATCTTAAACACTGTTACCATTTCAAAAATCTTTATTTATCGCGCAAGTTCATCACTTCAACTCACAGGCTCACCTACTGCAATTCATTGTAAGAACTTTTCCAATGGAGATAAATCTTAGGACGAAGTTGGTAAGGGCTTACGAGAGTTGTGTAGACTTCTTTGGGATTTTCATCGATTTACGATATCCTCTGGAGCTGGAGTTAGCGAAAAACAACGAAAGGAAACGTTTCTCTAGATTCCTTCTAGCTCCGAAAAACTCGAACCATTGAACTTCTGAGACCAGATTCGACATTTAACTTCATGGACACGAAGAATATATTTCAATTAAATTATTTGCTCATTCAAAACTGGACTGATCAGCACAATGGATTTGCCCATCACCTTTATAGGCGGATATTTTGAAACAACACAAATAAGACCCACGTTAGCCCTTCCTAATTTTCTTCAGTCCGAAGGAACGGTATATGTTTGATAATACCACAGTCTTTTGTAACAACAAAAGTACACGTCTCTCCATTTACATAGACATTATACGCTCTATTAAGATGCCTTCCATAGATCTCGCTTCCAGATAATCTCCTTGCAGCCTCCCGGCAGATCAACAATGCATGACACTTCAAAACTCCAAAGATTATATCAATAGCGCTTGTCACGGGGCTCGAATAATATTTTATCATCTCGACGTAAAACATTACACCCGACTTTTGTCAACCTCTTTTTTTTATCCGCAACTTCCTGTCTCATATCTATCAATAAGGCTATTATTGTACCAAAACTCTCTGTATGATTACTGCCGAAAATCATTTGCTCATCATTTGATCGTTCACCTGCCACATACGACTTATCTCTCCCTCGAACCCTGCTGCGTACTAAATTATTGATGTACGCTTGTTCATTTTTTGTTTCAAATAGTGGCATAGCGGGCTCTCATGTATTCTATATTTGCTCTCAGTGATGTTTTTCAAATGATATCGTATTCGGCTGTCTAGCCAGACAAATTTCTCAAGGATCTGTAGAACAGCTTAGGAATAATTTTCACTCTTGGCTTTATCACTTGTCTACTGTTGTTACGATGTAGGTTGACAAACTCATTACCTGCCCTTAATGATATCACGGATAGGCCTTTACGATTAAATAGATAATGCCGTCTAATATTCTATATTGTCTCAAAAGCTAGATACAACCTACAAGAAGATTCTTCCCTCCATTGTTTGATTGATCGTTGTAAGGCTCATCTAAATATAAGTTTTTTTCTTGCATCAGATTTGATTTGCGTGTTCAGCCATAGCTATGATACTACCAGAGAAAAAGTACAGAATAGATGACTCAAAATAAATGAAAAGCTCTCATGCCTCGGATTTTATTTTAACGTACCACTGCGAAGTTATGGTAGCTTTTTCTTCACCCCAAGTCAGCCCTCATCGGCGGATACCCACTCAGGCGAACGTCTCAAATACCCTGAGTTATCCAGACGTGGCTTCGCCATCTACTAAGTTTTCTCCGCGTGAAATGTGATCTGAGGCGTCTCCTTCCCAAGTGGAGTAGGTGCCCAGGCTACTCAAACTATACCGGAGAACACCACCAGGAGGCAGACCACGACACATTCCATCGTTGACTTGTATTTATAGTGTCGCCTGCACTATCGCAACCGAAGACTTGGCACGCACACAAAGCTCAATTCGTAAAACTCTTGCCAAAATTCAAAATGACACGACCGTCGAGTTTGTATCCTTCATTTGCATCATCTTGTGAACTTGTCCTAATCCCTCTCACGTCCATCCCAAAGAGCTATCTCCCAGATTTGTGCGCCACGCTTTGCTTCCTCCGTCGGGTACAAATATCGGCGTGGGCGTGTATTTGGTGGTCAACTGAGGCCAGAGAAAGTCAATGTGGGGTGGGGTCAATAGGATGAGGATGTTTTCGGTCGCACTTGTAGACTTAATGGGGCTTAGATCGGGAGAGGTTTCGTTGGGAGTGAAAAATTAATATGGCAGAGTATTTGGAATCGTTGCCTTGTGGGCCAACTTCATTGGTATTGCGAAATTTGACTGAACTTAGTTCTCGGAGAATACTTCACTCCCAGGCTCGTAGGAGACACCGCGAGCGGACGCTTAGTCTTGCCCTCCTAACCCTTAGGCTTGTCAGTTAGGACTGTTAGAGCTCTGTCTATTATTATTCGTCGAATGACCTAATGACTTAATGACCTTTCATGTATTATCTTAGAAATGATGACTAATTATGTTGATGAATAATGGGTTACCTGTTTAGGAATGGCGTCAGGAGAGAGAGACAACTGCTGTATATACGTGTTTCTTTTAGTGAGAAGGGAGAAAATAGAAGATATATGTTAACCACCAATTGTTATTACTTCTACAGAAGGCTTGTGATATAATACCACTCGAGTATTCCGACATTGTTCATTCATTGGAGAGGATCAAGAACTCCAACAATCATGAAGAGGCCTCTCCTTCCTAATAGATGCTCGTGACTTGGAAGAGCGATTTCAAATCATACAGAATTCATCACATAATGTAACGAGCGCCATATTCTTGAAATAAAATAAGTCGATTGTGTGAGTTGTACGTTTAGGTTGCTACTAGAGGAGAAAGGCATGCGCCCTGTAAGCACAGGTGTAAGCGACATAGAGCCTAAGTCTGGACTTTTGTGACTACTGCTGGGGGCACAGGAGCCATGGACAAGAGCGGCTCCGGCACAGTTGCGAATGCGAAGGTCTATGATGCTGAAATCCACGGAGCTGTGGCTGCACTCGAGGCGATTAGAGCGTGCAACAGCGACGTTAGAGCTTGAGTCATATACGTTCTCCTAGACAACTCCGGGGCAATGAAAGCGCTGATTAAAGGAAAAATAGAACCATCTGCACGGCGGGTGCAGATATTCCGTACCGCGGTGGCCAAGCAACTCGTGCCAGTCATGGTGTGGATCCTGGATTCCAAGTCCGAGCGAAACGCCAAGTCTCACGGCAAGCGAGCCGCCGAGCTCCGATCCTAGGCGAACCGCCGAGTTTGAGGTTCCATCAAGAATGCACCCCTGGCATTTTTTGGTCACAATTCGGGCGGCTAAGCACCTCACTCCTCCGCTACTGTACTCTGAAAGTTTACTTGCCATGTACCATGGATCTTTACATTATCTGGAGTATAGAGGAATTCATGTATTTGAGGAGTTAGAACGTTGATGGAAATAGAAGTTTACACCTAGTCTCAAGCTCTACACACAAATAGATCGTCGTAGTCGGAGCCACGAGACATCCGTGAGGAGGACAAGACTAAGCGTCCGCTCGCGGTGTCTCCTACGAGCCTGGGAGTGAAGTATTCTCCGAGAACTAAGTTCAGTCAAATTTCGCAATACCAATGAAGTTGGCCCACAAGGCAACGATTCCAAATACTCTGCCATATTAATTTTTCACTCCCAACGAAACCTCTCCCGATCTAAGCCCCATTAAGTCTACAAGTGCGACCGAAAACATCTTCATCCTATTGACCCCACCCCACATTGACTTTCTCTGGCCTCAGTTGACCACCAAATACACGCCCACGCCGATATTTGTACCCGACGGAGGAAGCAAAGCGTGGCGCACAAATCTGGGAGATAGCTCTTTGGGATGGACGTGAGAGGGATTAGGACAAGTTCACAAGATGATGCAAATGAAGGATACAAACTCGACGGTCGTGTCATTTTGAATTTTGGCAAGAGTTTTACGAATTGAGCTTTGTGTGCGTGCCAAGTCTTCGGTTGCGAGAGTGCAGCTGACACTATAAACACTGCCATGCTTGGATAGTGCAGTGGTATAATATCTGGACCCATCTCCCAAGTAAGGTCTGGATAGCTTTGACACATTTCAAACTCGAAACAAGAGATCGCTGGTTTGAATCCGGCAAAATACAACCACATTTCTCGCAGCTTAAGTTTACATGGATGACGAAGGCATGCTTGGATAATCAAAGGTTTTGAAATCCCCTTTGGTGCGAACTTACGGAGGAGGGTCGACTGTTTGTGTAAGCGAATATACCTCAAAGTGGTATTTGCAGATGAATCTTAAGTATGAGCGTCTCTAACGTCAAAAAAGTCATCCAATATGTGTATGTAGCATCGGTCATGAGTCATATCTATTAAGCTACATACACATGAAATGATTTAAAAAAGAAAGAAGGAGGAGGGTCGACGGTTTGTATAAGTAAATGTGACTAATAGTGGCATCTGGGAATATAATCTAGATTATGAGTGTCCCTATAGCCAAGAGAGTCACCCAACGTGTACATATAGCACTGGTCGTGGGTCATGCTTAGAAAATTGAATAAATATTAAATAATTTAAAAAAGTAAATCCTAGGATGATATACTGCAGTTGATATGATAAGCCTCGAGTAGGTGTTATGATTATTTATCAATTTATTTTGTGGTTAATAAGGTATTAGTTACAGCTACAGCTCTAAAGCTGGGGATGAATTGTGACTTCTAACGTTTATTCTGATTGAAATCCCGAGGTGACGTTTAGAGACCATGAAGTAACTGGTAAATGATCTATCAGCGCGAAATCGTAGGTTGCTCTAGCGAGTAGCTCATAAAGCAGTTATGGGGCAGATTTCAGTTAGATAATAGCTTTCTTTAATACAAAAGGGTGTCTCAACCATCATGACAATGCTTAAAGAAGTCGATAGTACCAAAGCTTGTCGGTGATTAAAATTAGTAAATTACCTCGAACAAGAGGCAAAAAAGCAAGGGGGCTACTGTCATGTACACCCGTATTAACTATTCATAAGGGCATTTTCATGCTGGAGTCTTTCATGACAATCAAAAAAGTCATTGTGCCTAATCTAACATTGAGCAAAATATCCAAGATCATAGTTGCGCCTCTTTATTTATGGTATTTTAGTCTCACATTAACTTGATAGATCATGTGCTTGACTACCTTTGGGGGAATATTTTATATGAGCCTCAGGTTTTAAGCGTTCTTTGATTAGTGGTGAGCCAAGGGAACCGAGAAAATGCTGGCATCTTTGCGCAAGGGTATTTTTAACGGGGTCAATATCATGTGACTAGAGCTTTCGGTTAGGGCACACAAATCCAAGTATACAATACACGACTGAATCAACAACGACAAATCCATATTCGACAGCCATCCCCCGAATCGACTAACGACAAGGTAAGAACCTTCTTAAGCACTTAAAAATGTTGAGAATAGAAGCTAAACAATTTCTAGATGGTTTCAGCCAAGAAGCACATTCCTATAGTCAAAAAGCGTGCGTAAACCCACATCACCGGAACTTTGCAAGATCGTACTACATGCGACAATTTAAACTAACGAGAACTTTTAATTTACAGGCACCAAGCGTTTCCATCGACATCAGTCGGGTAAGTTCAAATTTTTACATATTCATCTTCGATATGCCAGTGCCCACAACAAAGCTCAACTGGATCCGAAGTTTACACGCTGAGAATAATGATTAGATACGTACAAATGTGTCGATCCAAGCTGGAGAAAACCCAAGGGAATTGATAACCGAGTTCGTCGTCGGTTTGCCGGTCAAATTGCTATGCCATCAGTACGTAACCTGAGATTAACACCTAAAATCATCAGGTAGAATTAGGATTAATCCGATATATAGATTGGATATGGATCCAATAAGAAAACAAGACATATGATGCCTTCCGGTCACAAAGCTTTTCTTGTTCACAACACTCGAGATATCGACTTGTTATTGATGCACAACAAGACATTTGCCGCCGAGTAGGTTGTACGAAGGCGTTAAGCCGTCTATGCTAACATTAGTAGAATTTCCCATTCAGTATCGTCGAGAAAGAGAATAGCAATCATTCAGCGTGCTAAGGAGCTCAGTGTTAAAGTTACCAACTCTAAAGCGCGCATCACCACTGAAGTATAGAATTAATATAAGTTTTTGGTTGGCGCTCAAATATGTACGGGACTTTGTGCGTACGAGGAAAGCGGAATTCTCAAAGTGTTCGCTAGCAAAGTTAAACCATCAGACAGTGTAGTGTTGACGCTGTCGAGTTGGTGGATTAGGAGTTCCGCTTTATCGGTCAAATTACAAGTTATCCTAAGGGACATAAAAATGTCGATACATTCCAAATTCAGCTGCGGAATAAGTGTTTGTGAATATAGAGTTCATAATCTTGAGTCAAATGGCAAATACACTGACTACGATCCTACTTCATTTTATCAATTTCTTAGTGCTAGACTGAGCTGTCGATTTTCCACTTGCTTCCCTTCTGTACTGCAATAAAATCTCGCGTCGCAGCGAAAAATCCTAAACGAGGTCTTCATTTTCACCCGTTGACAAGGGATGTTGAACTCACTTGGCTCTGATCCTTTACTCATACCACTTCTGAAGCGATTGAGTTTTTGAAATTGTTTCGTCTTCTGCAGTACCAGGCTACTGACCCACTTTAATATATAGCTGGGCGAATCACTGACCAAAACAGGGTAGATTTTGCAGGGGGGAAATTCTGCCGCAAAGTGTGTCTTGAAAATTTGTGGCTACAAAGGAGGCTCAATGTGTTAAGTGGCTTTGAGACACTTGACCGTATTAGAAGCATGTTGTAAAGTCCTCCCAGCATTGAATTACAGGAACGTAAGACAAGTACATATCTGGTTCTTTTTCTTGGTTTCTCCTTTGCCATTGAGACTCCCAATCCCACAATAGCTTGGCTAGCCTTGCAAAACCTATATTCCCAATGTCCACGAGTCCGCCATCGGCAACCCAAGACATAACTTCCGTTTGTCCTAACTGCGGAGTAGACCAGCCAGGGTACAGCTCGATAGCAACTCAAGCGCAGTCACAGATTCAAGAATTAAGATCCCAAGTAGAGTTACTGACCTCCAAAGCTACAGCCGCTGGTACGTAAATATTCGGTGCCAGTATTTCTCCAACCACTGATCAGAAAAATTTAGTTGACAAAGTAGCTGATTACGAAGATAAAATCCGGGATTTGCGCGCCGAAATTGAGAAAGCCAAGCAGACAAAGGCAACTGGACCGGAAGAGCCCATCCCCGAAGCAAAGCGGGTCAATAGTATGAGTGCCTTTGGCGGCTACAGAATCACCTCTTTCCTTAGCTCCCGCATCATTTCCCCGACCCCCAAGCCGGCGCCTGCGCCTGAATCGCCACCCTCACCCTCTACTGCTGAGCTCGCCGCCGCCCTGACACGTGAGCAGGAATTGCGCAAAGCTGCCGAAGGCAAGCTTAGCGAAACCTCCAACGAACTAGAAGAGCTGAGTACGCAACTCTTCAAACAAGCAAATGAGATGGTTGCTGCAGAAAGGAAAGCGCGCACAAAGTTGGAATCAAGGGTCGAAATCTTAGAGAAGCGAGATATTGAGAAGAGACAACGACTTGAGCAGCTCGAAAAAGCACTTTTGCGAATCGAGAGAGTCCGAGGCTTGCTGAAATGATACATCAAGGATTATGAAGTTTCGAGAATTGAAAATCTCCGTACGGAACTGACACGGGAAGGTTGTGAAATGACTATTCCCGCCCCAAATTAGTCTATCATTAATCATACCAGCCTTCAGCCATCTAGTGACTATTTTTCGACTGGAAATGCCAACTAGATAGTATCTCAATCTCTCGGGCATACTAGCCTACACCAAAGACATGCATACAAAAAGATCGTAGATCTCACTTCGTTCACCGCCAGACTCAGGGACACAAGGTACGAATCTTACGATGCAATTATCGGAATCATCCTAGACTTACAATCCCCGGATCTTGAACCTAAGGATGAAACTGCTCAGTAAATAATATGGCAGGGGAAATACCAAACCACCAAATATACAACCGTCACTGCTCGTGGAGTTATTATTCTAGGATACGAAGAAATTGTGGGTAGAGAAACTCGTATCGCCAAATAATCATAATACCCCACGGGCAGGGAAATTATAAGTTGGCATGTATATTTCGTGTTTATTTTCAAACGTTGGAGCCTTTTACTAATTTACTGTAGCATTCTCGCCATCAAAATCTAAAGCTTGTAATTATGAAAAGGTTTAAGAGAGGTGGTATCACCAAGGCTACTAGTAAGGAATTTTGCGAAGTTGACACCCTGATCCGGTATATATAATCGCTTTATTCGCGCTTATTTTATCTACTTAGCCTCTGCTCTAAAGTAGTAAAAGGTAGTCGTATACTCATTTTATGCTACCTAAATACTTTCAGAATGACCATAAAAACTTTGACTTGGCTCGACAAGTATTTATTATGTGGCATTGCTACTCTTGTCAGCTTCACTCGTAATACCTTTAACCAGACCGTATAAAAAATATTCGCAAGCTGACCTTTGCTAATTGTGCCACTAAATCCGGATCCTAAGAACATGATTTTTGGGGTATATTTTAACATGGTCTAGTGGAAGAGGGTGAAAAAAGGAGAAATGGTCTCTCTGTAGCACTGAATCGTGTTAAAGCTTTTTGTTGATACCCTATTTCAAAGTAACAGGGTGGGTTTCCCTTGTCGAGGACCCTATTTCCTATGGAGGAAGATATGCTCAACATCCTATCCTCGCACCCCCACGAGACTCCAGTTATTATGTGGTGATATTTCCACATACTCCCCTAGTTTCCTCCATTTCCATTTTAATTCATTCAGACCGCAGCAAAGCAGCTTTAGTTGGGCTGGGAAGAAATTTATAATGACTGCAATACCAGTCCATAATTGCTTCATCCAAATAACGCCGTGACGAAAACTCCTGACGTTTTCCTGTGCCCCTTCTGTTGAATAAAAAGTGTTCGCAGAGCGGGGAAGTCCAAATTAATCCAATAACAGTGCTAGTAAGCAGGGTGATATTGGATCTGGATTCAACTTTGGTTCTCGGTGATTCGCTCTACAATATTGTGGGGACATTTTGTCGAAGCACCAGTGTGTGTGTGTGTGTTTTATTGTACTACTTGAGTCTATGACTATCTAGCACATTGGGCTCTCTCTGACCCAGGCCACACCTTGTACAGTGTCGAAGCACCAGTCTTTTGCGCGCGCTAAAATTACTTGTGTTGTTTGAGTTAATTTGCAAATTTCAGCATATATCAATCCCTTTTCTTTTACGCGCGCGCTTTGATTAGGCTTACCAGATCATGTTCGTTCATTTTATTTATGCGCGCGCTTCATGCTAGTGATTCTTGAGATTGTAATTTTCAAGAGATTAACATCCGAACCTGTTTCTTACTCCATTAGCTCAACTCAATCAAGACTGATATGCAGAACAGAAATGATATGATAGATGATAAATGATTTGCATGTATATAAACTAGCGAGGGGAGATTTGAATAGGACAGAGAATTCAATCCACTTCAAACATTTTTAAAGTATCTCTATGCCGTTCAATACATTCTAACCAGTTGTAACTTTCATCACCAATCAATGTCTACGGGAACGAAGATTAGCATATTTTAAATTTGACATTATATATTATAAGAGTCTTTAGTTAGATTCACCAAACCCTCCATTGTCTTAGACTCAGTAAAGACCATGATATAAATCTAATTTATCATTAGCTTGTTCGGCAAGCTTCAGATGGAGTTCGTGACGCGAATAGCCAGTACATGGATGGAGAAACTAACTCCAGTGACATAACAGTAAGTCGGAACGGTTGATGACCAGGGATTCACTTTGGTCAGTTGTCAGAGGACTGACGCGTCACGATAGAGCCCAGGACGTCTGCTGAGTGAAGTCTTGCTCCCAGCGCACTGGCAGAAGCGCGACTATTAGTGCTATCTTTTTGTAATCTTAGCCGATCTGCGCTGAACGAGGGGGCGTCTTCCCTCTCGGAAGTCTTCTGGCATTAGACACAGCGAAGGGGGAAATCACGAGATGCATGAAAATCTTACAGAGTGTCGGCTGATAGGAACGTAGTCAGCTTTGGGCTGGGCCGTATCATCGTGACGGAACGCCGGAGTTTGGTAAAGCGCATTTTCCATTTTGTTTTTTTTTTTGGCATCAGGTTTTAATTGCGTATGCAGCTATCTAGCTATGACCAAAAATCCAAGAAAAGTACAAGATAGACGATTCAATCTGAAGGAAGAGCACTCATGCCTCGGATTTCATTTACAAGTACGACTGCGAGTTTATTATTAATTCATTTTATTGTCCTGTCTGAGTCTATGACCGTGTAGGACATGCAGGTCCTCGCTGCCTACAGGCCAAGGATACCTATACCGGTAGTATATCTCCTCCTGGCCTCCCATACAGCTCCCCTCAAACAGTACCGCCTCTCGCAAGTCCTCATTCGATCATACACTTAGAGGAGCCCTTTGCCCTTCATCATCCCCCCTCTCCAGCCAACGAAACGATGGCCATTTGCGGGTGTATGGCAGCCGGGAAAAATCGCAAAAACCACGGGGTGCGGGGCTTTTCTAGCACCGACATTAGGACTAAATCCGAAGACATAGTGATCGATCTGAAGCGTTCGAAGAGGCCGGCCAGTTGGGCGCTGCAGACTTGTGTGTACCTCGGAAAATTCACACTCTGCCCTTCTAGCCTCCTTCCCGAAGGTCGCGCTGAAATGTGAGAAAAGTCTTGACAGAGCGTGATTGTTGTATGGTAGCTTAGCCCAACCTCTTTTGTGCCGTTTTGCGGGTGTCTAGCTGCAGGGAAACTTCTCAAAAACCATGAGTTATCCAGACAAGCCTCCATCATCCTTTGACTTATCTCCACGCAAAGTGTGGACGGAGACTTCTTGTTGTGATGGGCATGTTATACAGCTAGGATACTTGCATCTACATAACGTGATTAGATGTTTACGCTGTGTGTGTAGTTCTTGTATCGTTTGGGATATCTGCAGGAGGAAGCTCATGTGTTCAGGAGCCGACTAGCGGCCGCACGTGAGTATAACTAGCGAGTGCTCGGCACATGACAAGGAGTGTACAATTAAAGTACAGTGAACCTCAGATACACCTTCAACCACAACCTGAAACTCATCAATCTATATATACGTACAAGGTCAGCATGCATAGTGATACTAATCTAAGCTCATAACTACAATACTTCTCCTTCCGAACTGGAGTCGGTGCCCAGGCTACTCAAACTATTCTGGAGATCATTACGAGAAGGTCGGTCATGCCACCCTCCATCGTTGTCTCATCATTAAAGAGTGTTGGAAATTCAGACTCTGTCCGTCTAAAGTTTCTCTACGATTGGAAGAAAAAAGCTTCTCACGTACGACTCACGACCTGACTCTGACGGAAATTATAGACATCTCCTTCATTGAGCATGTTTGATCCGTGAGATAGACTTACATGCACCCACCATGATCCTATACTCATGTTGAATTTTATCGTGCGATTCATTGTCATTGATAAAGTATGGACCGAGGACTGGTAGACGCTACCTGATTTGGATTTAGACTACTTAGAATACATGAATATGAGCTTTCTGGAAATCACAAAGACGGAATAAATTATTTCATTTCCCCATAGTATATCACATACTCTACCGTTTCATATCGTTATTCCACTTGTAAATCACGTCCACATTCTTTGAGTCGCCTTACCCACCGAACCCATACTGATTTTCCAACAAAGTGTCGTCTAAACTCTCGCAACTGAAGGCTTGCCATGCATAATTCTCATTTATCAAAACTCCAGGCTAAAATTGGAAATTTGACACCCGTTGAGATTGTATCTGTCCTTCGCGTCATCTTGTCCACTTGTTGACGTTTTTGACACATCCGTATCCGAGAACTGCCTCGTAGATTTATGCGCCGCGTTTGTTTTTTCCGTCGGGTACAAATTTAAGCGTGGGCATGTATTTGGTGACCAGCTGAGGCTAGAGAAAGTCAGCGAGAGGTGTGGTCGTTGAAATGAGGATGTACTTGATCGTTCTTGTAAACTTGATGATTTTTTGGTGGGAACTGATGTCGTCGGGAGTGAAAGATTGAAATGATGTAATACCTTGAATCATCTTCTCGTGGGCAAACTTCTTTGGTACTGCAGAGTTTGCCTAGCTGGGCTCTGGGGGAATATCTCTCTCCCAGGTTTGCAGATGACAACGCGTACAGGTGTTCAGTCTTTGTCCTAGGATTTCTAATTTTTACTGTAGCAAAGAGCGTTTTGGTTTTCGAACGTCATGATCACACCAGAAATTAATCATGATTAGTCTATCTTCATGACTTTATTTTTGGAGGAAGTGGTAGGTTTTTTTGAGAGTCCCAGTAAAGAATTGTTTAATTCTTTTTGTTTCCAGATGCATGAATGAAAGTTTATTCGTGACGAGCACAAGCCCTGCACTCAAAGAGCATGACACGGAGAAGACTAGCTTCTCCAACGACTATATAAGACGATAACTCAGTTTGACATTTGGACTACTCATGTATTGGGTGCATCCACTGATAACCACTCGAGATCTTGTTACTGTGGACTTTCACCCTTCCCTCAACCATTAATTTCCACCAAAGGGAAAACAG